GACAGAAGATAGGATAAGTGAGGTAGAAGATAAAATGGTGGAAATAAATGAAGCAGAGAGGAAAAAAGAAAAAAGAATCAAAAGAAATGAGGACAACCTCAGGGACCTCTGGGACAATGTCTCTGCTTTTTAAAATGCTGTCTATATGTTTCAATGTTAGTGTCTGTCAAATACCCACCTGAATTCCATTAGGAGACCTTTAGATAATAAAGGCAAATGCTTGAAAGAAGTATGACAGTTGTTTACTACAGAAATTCCTTACTATTATCACTTTCATAATTTTAATTAATAACCTTTCTCTTTAATTCCACATGTGTGTCTATTATATATTCACAAAAGTTTCATTTTTATCATCATTGCCAGGTAGTTTACAACAATTGTTACAGGGCTGAGAAGTGTTTAATGATCACAACTTTATAAATACAATGTTTCTCTCTTCTCATCAGTGACATGCCTAGAACTACATATTCTCCAAGGAAAAGGCTCTTCATAGTCTTATAATTATGTACATTCTCTGAGGAGAAACCAGGGTACAGTTTCCTAGCAAAAGAGCACTCAATAACAATTTAACATTTCCTGCCAAATACCCTAGGTTGTGGTAATTTTCAAACATTGTATAAAATGACACACATTCCATATATGAGGTGTGATTAAAACATAAGACAAGTCACATGTGAAAATATCTCTCATTACTTTATAATCACACCTCATACATCATCTTAGGAACTCAGTCATAGCATATGATTTTTTAAACCTTCACCTTATTGCCCACCTACCTCTAATCCAACTTCCCCTCTGGCCACCCCAGGGTGAGAGAAAGTAGACTGCCATCCAAAGACATCTGGTGTGGGATACAGGGCAGCAATTAAACACCCTCGGTGGGATGTCAGCGGGGATCTGCCACCACTCAAAGCTCAGCATGTATGTGGTCTTGAAATGATTCCTGGCTGCTTCATACAGGGGCAGGTCTAGGCAGAACTGTGCAGGCAATGAAGTCTGGCCCTCCCCCGTGGCCCTCAGCGGCACGGCTGCTCCCCACGGCCGAGGGGCCTCCCCATGGCTGGGGCTTCACAGACAGTTCTTGAGAATCAGTCTTTCCCGTTCCTACTCACCAGCACATAGCCACCTTATGTCCTGTTCCAGCATTTGGTGAGCAGCTGTTATGTGCCCAGCACAGTGCTTGGTGCTATGGGCACAGACTTCAAAAACCATGGCTTGGCTTCATGGAATTTAGCTGGAGAAAGCAAATTAACAAATTTATCTGATGTTAAGGTGGTTCGATAAGTTAACTGATGTATTCCAAGGGTTAAGACAGTGCTTGGTGCATAGTAGATGCTCAGTACATATTTGTTGAAGCACTTAAAATAGCCTAAGGCTACGTCTATTCTGGGTACAGTGGGAAAGTGATGGTTCAAGGAACATATCCTAAAAAGATGACACCTGAGCTAAGTCTGAAAGGGATGAGTAAGATACTGAAGATCAGATAGGTTGAAAAGGCAATTTTGAGCACAGGGAAGAGTATGAGCGAGGCATGGGGATTTCACACAACACAGAGTGTGCAAGAACACTTTAACAATTGCATATTAGAAGACGTTAAGGTACGAAGCAAGGAGGAGTAGCAAATGAGACCAGGGAGGTAAATAGAGTGAAGTTATATAATATCTTATATGCCACACTGCAACAGAGTTTATATTTGATTTGTAATCAA